TATTATTATTATTATTATTATTATTATTATTATTATTATTGTTGTTGTTGTTGTTGTTGTTGTCGTCGTATGTTGTAACATTATTACTTTTATTTAATTACAACAAATATTGTATTATATCTTTTTTATATTGACCATTAATGTAATTTTTAATGTTAGGTGTTTCATTCTCAAATTATCAACGTTCGTCTTAAAATAGTTCCATAACTAACATCACAAATGCTTCTTGAAGCGGTTTACTGTCTTTTATTGATCTTACAAAGGAAAACGATGAAAATTCACCCCGACATCGTTGTTAAACAACGTCAACAATGGCAATCCTATAATTTATTATCAAAATGTCTAATTTCTACTGTTGAGAGTATATATCGGATGTTCAAGAGTTCAGGCTACGATCTTAGTTATCTGATGGACATAGCCATACATGTTCCATAGTTGATGTCGTTGAGCCCGTTAACGAGTACATGAGCTCACTGAACATCCGGGGGAAGAACTTATTTGAGTTCGGACACCTCTTGCAAGTTAGACGCTGGATATGATACTCTTCAAGATCTTTATACTCTTGAATTTCTCAACTGGATTAAGCGTTCGGGATTTTTGAATCATAAATTGCACTTGAAGTTCGGCACTCCAGTGATGTTAATCAGAAACATTGATCACTCCATGCGGTTGTGCAACTGTACTGTTTATTAAAATTTGATCGATCATCTATATTATCTTTGATTTTTGTACAAATTCGAGCAATATGTTTTTGTTGTCCACATTTTGTGGTCAACAGGTACACGATTGGTTATTACTAAGCTCAACACCCATTTTCTCTAATGTATAATTTCAATTGAAAAACTTATTCCACTAAAATATTTTTGTTATAATTTTTGTTAGAATAATTTCAGCAGAAGTTATATCATTATAATATTGTGCTACGTGGCTGCACCATAAAGAAATTCAACAACCAATAATAGAGGGAGCAGAGCAGCATCCACGTCTCGAGATAAATTTTTACAACAGGTGGCTCGATCTTAAGAGCCAGAGTCAATCCAACGGTGGATATTCCAAGTTGGTGTATGGTAACCTGAAAAGCATGTTGGGTTCCGTGTGGTGTGTCGTTTTCTTGCTGTCGTGGGCTTTGGTCTTCATTTTTTTATGGGCCCAAAAAAGGAACGATTATTTATTTATTTATTTTGCGGACCCGCCTTTAGGAAAATTAAATTGTTGTGTGACAATAAATCAATAATATAATATTAATAATGATAAATCCACATTATACGCAAAATTGCAATGGTAGTCCTGTTAGTTTGATCAAATAGCATTTTTAGTTCTAAGAATGAATATTTTTGCTATTTGGTCCTATAATTTTAAAATTAAACGTAATTTCAGTCCTTTCGGACTGAAAATGCAACAAAAATTTAAAATTACAGGACATAAATCGTTAATAAAAAAATCTTTTGGACAAATTTTTTTATTAGCAATTTAAGTCCTATAATTTTAAATTATTTTGCTATTTCAGTTCCAATGGACTGAAATTTCAGAAAATATTAAATTACAGGATTAAAAGAAAAAAATTTGAAGTCTTGATACTAAAAATACTATAACGTTAAACCAACAGGATTAGAAATGCAATTTGGAACCCATTATAACAATGATAAATCTCAGAGTCGCAATTTTCATCTTCTACTCCTTCCAAGGCACGTCACATCAATGGGCTTTTGGTTTGAATTATGTCTGATTTTGTCTTGTAATAAATTTTCGTATCTTAGCAAAAGGCTCAAAACAAGAGTGTTCCAAAATTTCTGGCCTCTTATTATTTTATTTTTTGGGCAATTCGTGATTTAATAACCCCTAAACGGTTGAAGAACCGAAATTACGAATTTGTCCCCAAGCACATTCTATAAAAGGCCATGCCACTCAACATGGTTGAAACACACAAAAAGAGAGAGAGCATACAAAAGAGATAGAGTATTAGAGCATATTGAGAAAGAGCGAGCACTTTTAAGTTGCAACAATGAAGACAGTGTGTGTAACAGGAGCATCAGGTTTCATTGCCTCATGGATCGTCAAGTTCTTGCTCGAGAGAGGTTATACAGTCAAGGCATCCGTTCGTGACCCCAGTGAGTATTCGAATTCCTTTCGTGTTATTCCGTAACCAAAATTATGAGCTCGTCATAATGTTGTACACTACTACACTCATAAAACATGGATGAACATTTTTCGGTTAAATTATCGAATTATTTTATAGATTTCCAGAATTTAAGAAGATTATGTATATTTATGTATACGCATGATTGGTAAAAGTTAATTTTTTAAAATGATATTTAATATGGAGAATTTAATTAATGTTGCAGATGACCCGAAGAAGACGAAGCACTTGATGTCCCTTGAAGGAGCCAAGGAAAGACTTCACTTGATTAAAGCAAACTTACTCGAAGAAGGCTCTTTTGACTCTATAGTCGCTGGTTGTGACGGTGTTTTTCACACTGCATCCCCATTTTACCATGCTGTTAAAGACCCTCAGGTTCCTATCTATTTCATTTATATCATTATATTAATATTCAAATTCAATGGCTTAAAACTATTTATATACATTGTTAATATTATTATGTGTACAATCTTATATAAATTTAGCCCAAAACTATAAACAAAATGTATAATCAAGCTTTGATATAACATATTCATTAACCTAGTAGTTATTTATTATACATGGTTTTTGTCAGGCGGAGTTGATTGATCCGGCATTGAAGGGGACACTTAATGTTCTCCGTTCAGTGGCTAAAGCACCATCGGTCAAGAGGGTAGTGCTGACGTCATCCATAGCTTCAGTCGCATACAATGATACACCTCGCGGCCCTAACACTGTTATTGATGAGACTTGGTGGTCCGACCCCGAATGGTGCGCAAAGGCTAAGGTAATTGTATTTTCTTTAATTCCTCTTTTCCAATCTATGAGATAAAAAAATGGTAATTGAAGTTTGTGAGTCTAACTAGCGTGAAATTTGTTTCAGAAATGGTACGTGCTATCGAAGACGGTAGCGGAGGAGGCCGCATGGAAGTTCGTGAAAGAGAAAGGTATCGATTTGGTGACGATATGCCCACCTATGGTGATTGGTCCTCTCTTGCAGCCTACCCTCAACACAAGTTGTGAAGCGATCCTCAACCTCGCTAATGGTGATTGATTTTTTTTTCTTTCAATGAACATATTTCTTTCGTTAAACAACTGAGATGCAAATGTTTGAAAATCAAAATTTTCTAAATTTTGAACTTGGAATATTAATTTTATACAGGTGCTGAGACATACCCCAATTCCACTTATGGGTGGGTGAATGTGAAAGATGTTGCATTAGCTCATATTCTTGCCTTTCAGAATCCTTCTGCCAACGGGAGATATCTTACTGTAGAGAGGGTCGCACACTACTCTGAAATTGTTGAGATCATGCGTGAAATCTATCCTGAACTTCCTATTCCGACCAAGTAAGTACTTATGTTTATTCCGAACAAAACAAAATCTAGTGGAGAACGAAAAAGAACTCAAAATTTCACCCGTTATCATATATAAATATTTAATTTCTTAATTTTCTTATGAAAACACCCTTTTTGACGGGCACAGATTTATAATTAGTAACGGGTAAAACAATTTACATTTACATCCTAAAATGAAATAATAAGGACTTTTAGCTATTTAATTTACATAAAGCATAAAGCTTTTGAATTTAAATCTTGGGACTCAAAATTATGCAGGTGTGCGGATGACAAGCCATTTGCGACCAAGTATTTAGTCTCAAAAGAAAGGGCACAATCTTTGGGAATTAAATTCATTCCTGTTGATCAAGGGCTTAAAGAGACTGTTGAGAGCTTGAAATCGACAAACTACTTCAAAGTCGCATCGCTCAATTGAGGGGGCTCAAATGCTTTGTGGAAACTATTAATGGTGTCAGCAATGTGTTTTAAGTTTTCTGCTGACTACACTAGTATTGCTGACTACAGTATTGAGCAGCAATAATTATGCACCCTCCCTATATTTTGTGTACTAAAATAAAAACCCTGGACGCCTCTCTCTCATTTTTTTTTTTCCTGTTTGTTATGTATTTTGAGTGATATTTTGTGGTGTTAACCAATTGGTATCACTTGTTTGGAGTATATTGGTGTGACATTTTGGTATCACTTGTATGGAGTATATATTTTTTTTTTCCCCGAAACGATAGAGATATTATAGATAAAAGCGCACAACTGTGCAAAAAAACAGCCCAATGGTTGAATATTACAACTAGGAACTAGAAGCTGGGAGGACGGATCGAAAGCACATTATCAAAGGCCTAAAACTCAGAAAAATCGCTGCAACTAAGACTCCAAATTTTTGGCAAAAAAAAGGGCTCGACTAGGAAATTAAAACCCGATTTTCGAAATACAGACTTAAGGCTTTTTAAAACACTAATATATCAGGTTTTTAGGCTCCATATAAGAGGTTAAAACCTCATAATAACTCAAAAAAATCGCAGCATCTTAACATTAATTATTCGAAGCCAAAAGAGGCTCGAAACATAGGTGATTTTTCGCTGAATTCTCGAACAACTTAAGAGCCTTTAAACCTCAACTTTTCCTTGGTATTTAACCCCATGATAACACACATTTATAGAGGTTTAAACCTCAAAAACGCAGCAACTCAAATCAATGATTTCGAAACCCGGCAAGGCTCCGAAACAAGGCATAATCAATCCCGACTTATCAAATAACTCCAAATCAATTATCCCGACCCTTATATACTTGAAAAATATAAATTTTCAGAGGCTAATACACATCCTAATCGAGAATTCAACACCAATCTCACATTAACCATAATAATAATCTCTTATCTCATGAAATACTCAAAATTCTCAAAAAACATGAGATCGACTATGCATGAACCTTTAAGCTTATTTAACCCTTTCAATCTTAACTCTTGAAAATAGAAAGAGGTGCAGACTATTACCTCCTTCAAGGAACGAACGTAAAAGGAACGAAAAATCTGAAAACGGGTCGAAGGCCTCTGTTCTACTTGCTGATAAAGCTCTCGGCAAAACGGCTCGGCTAGAAAAGAACCCGGCCACTTCTCGTTGAAAAGGAAGCCGGCCGCTGCTGCTCATGAGTCGTCGGCTGCCCGCTGCAGGACGACGGGGCTGCTGCTGCTCGGGGAGATGGCTGCTCAAAGTCGACGGCGAAATCCGTCATAATGGGCCGTCTCTGTTCGCTGAAAAGGAGCCGGCGGGGTACTGCTGCCGAACGACGTGATCGGCTCGAGAAGAACCTTGCCGTCTACTACTACTGTTTGTTTTCGCCGGCGGCCAGTGGCAGAAACGGCCGAGAAGTTGTCTGCTCGCGACGGCAGGTGGATAATAGAGAATTCGGCTTGGTCGGACGGGATCTGCTCGTCGTGAAAAAGAACTCCAGACGGTCTGCTGCTCGATGTCGCCGGCGAAGGGTGAAAAGGGCTGAGGTTTGGCGATTGGAAGATGCCTCTGATTATTGCCGGCGAAGGATGAAAAGGCTTGGGTTTAGTGATTGGTGTTTCCCTCGATTGGGCCTGGAAATTCTCTGAAATTGATGTTCTCGATCGCAAAGATGGGGAAGAAGATGAGTTGGGCGATGTTTCATAGGCGTGAAATGGGGAAATTCGCTAACTTTTTTTTTATATGGAATCAATTTAATTTACTCAATACAATACTTATATTTTAAGTTATTCAAGTTTACTTTTTAGTTAATTTTTCATTGTAAGACTCAATTAACTTTATTTTATAATATAGTCATGTGAACAAAAATAGTTTTTATTTAGTTTATATTTTACATACTTATAATAAATATTTTTGGTAATATTTATTTAATAATAAAGCGAAATTATATAAATTATATTTATGCAAAAATTTTGATCATGAATAATTTAAAAGAAAAATGATAAGTGAATTCAACAAATATGTAATGGAAATATTTATTTTTATTAATAATATAAATATGTAATAAAACTAAAAAATAATATATAAATGCAATCTACAAAAATATATCATTTTGAACAAACAATGACATATAAGTATCAACTTTTGCTTCTAAAAAGAAAATTTGAAATCCTGAAAAGCTAAAATGAAAGTAATATTATTCAAATATTATTTTTTAGTTTTATTACATATTTAGACTATTAATAAAAATAGTATTTCAATTGCATATTTTTAAAATTATCAATTTCAAAAAATAATTAATATTAAAATTTTGCATCATTGTAATTTATATAGTTCTATTTTTATTAATATAATTTTACTAAATATATTTATTATTTTTATTATAAGTATGTAAAATATAAATTAAAAGATGATGATAATAATAATAATAATAATAATAATAATAATAATAATAATAATAATAATAATAATAATAATAATACTTTTATTCAAATAATATGTGTTTTACATGTTTATATGAAAAAGTAAAGTTAGTTGGACCTTATAATGGAAAGTTAACTAAAAAGTAAGCTTTAAAGTGAGAATAACCTAAAATGTAATGGGGTGATTGTTTATCATCCCAACTAAAAAAAAAATCAATCAAAACTCAAATTTAACTCAACTTTAACCAATCCGACTATCTTCAATATTATTAATATAACTAAATAATATCAACCAGTCATTCAACCAATATTTTTTACACATCACATCAACTTTAATTCACTATTCATCCACTCACATAATTTTAACTAACCATCACTTGCAATCATTTTTCTCTTACTTTTCATCATATCAATTTTAATTATTTTATTTTAAATTATTATTTTAATAATATCCACTATCAACTAACCATACCAACTTTTTTCAAACTCAACTATAGTTAAAAAAACACCAATTAAAAACTAGTCAAATTCATAAACAATCACCCCCTAAGTCTTCTATTGAAAAGGTATAAAATTCAGGTCTTAGATTAATACAATTACTAAAAGTTAGGTCTTCCAATAGAATTTCCCCGGCGTGAAATAGGTTTCTCAAAATCTGACGGTGATGGTGAAATTGGGCTGAGAATGACAGCTTGATGGGCCGAGAGTTATACTAGCATTTGGGTCGGACTCAATGCTAACTGTTGGGCCGAGAATTATTTTAGTCTTGGGCCAATTATAATTAAGCTTATAAGGCCTGAAATATAAGCTCAGAATCATCTCAGTAAGTTTCTAAGAAGTGGAGAACAAATAGAAATCGACGAAGTCCAAAACGAATTTAAATCGTGTTTGACGGCTACTAAGTAAATAAATCGATGGCTAACGGATATTCAATAATTTGTTAATTTAAATAGACACTATCGTCTAAATACATTATTTCTCTTAACGAATCAAATAGACACTAACGGCCAATTAATCCGAAGAGCTTGTCGAGCATAGAAAATTAAAATGCAAATAAATGCATAACAATATAAATAATCGAGATAACTGCTATTACTAAATCGGGGCGCTACATATCATCACTATTTTATAATTAGACGTATTTATAAAACACCAAACATAATTGAACGGATAGATCATAAATAATATGGAAATTTCTATAAATTTAAATAATATATTTATATATATAAAGTAATACGTAATACTTGTTAAATATAAGAAATGTAGAATCATGTATCATACATCCATATAGCCAAGTGGTCATGTAACTGACTTTAACATCAAAAATTTTAAGTTGGCCTGGTAACTAACTATAGAATACATAGATGCAAGAGATCTTGTGTTCAAGCCCTATTGTTGGAACAACTAGTAAGGATTATTATATATTTGTGGGTGGCCATGTGCTCAAGGTGAGCCAAGTTATTCAAGGTAGGTCATGTGGTTGTAGCCTTCAAGTTGGGTCAACAATTTTTGTTGCTATTAATTTATTAGTTATAATCAGTCTGAAATATTCGTTGTTAATCCGTTGGGAAAAATCTGTTGCTAATCCTTTGAAAAAATTTCATTGGTCGTCCGTTAGTAATTTATTGTAAAAAAACCGTTAAGCCAAGTAATACATAGGGAAGAAATCCGTTGCAAATCCGTTGGTAATTCATTGGTAATCCATTGGGAAAAAAATCCGTTGGTAATCCATCGGAAAAAAATCCGTTGGTAGTCCGTGCTAAAAATTCGTTGAGAAATAATCCGTTGGGAACAAATTTGATAGTAATTCGTTGGGAAGATTTCATTGGTAATTTGTTGAGAAACTGTTGGAAAAAAATTTGTTGGTAATCTGTTGGGAAGATATTTGTTGGTAAATCCGTTAGGGAAAAATACCGTTGATAATATGGTGCGATAATTCATAATATTCGTTGGTAATCCATTGGTATATTCGTAACTAATATTTTGACTTTATGTTAGCAATTTGCCAACGAAGTGATTTAATTAGCAACTACATTTTCTATTCATAATCCATTGACAATCTCATGAAGCATTTCCGTTGCAAATTTGTTGATAAACCATTGGGAATTTTCCCAAATGGATTGTGTTTTTCTTTAATAAAATTAGCACGAGCCATATATCAACAAGAAAATTCGTTGGTGATCCGTTAGCATTCCGTTGAGAAATTTGATTACCAAGAGATTATTCCGTTGATGAAACTCATATTTCTATGATAACTAACAAAAGATACAAGCAAATATATACATGTGCAACATGTATCATTTTCTGTTAAACTATGTTATAAAACCCACTATGTTATATCCAAAACCTCCTCATAGCTAGGAATTTAGTTTTGCTTGAAAAAAAAAGAAAAAAAAAAGAATGGACACTGTTCCTATTTAGATAGAGTTAATATATTTTTTTATTTAAATCAATGAAGGGAGAAATCTGTAGGAATTTTTATTTTTATCACTTTTACGCACAAAAACAATCAGATTTAATACAATGGTTGTTTTATGTATGTTTGGTAA